CTGGACGCTTCCAGAGTCCCCACAGCAGAATGGGGTTGCTGAGCGCCGCATAGGCCTGGTCATGGAGATCGCCCGCACCTCCCTGACTCACGCCTGTGCCCCCCATTTTCTGTGGCCCTACGCGGTCAGGTACGCCGCGCACCAGCTGAACCTCTGGCCACGTGTCTCTCGACCAGAGGTTTCACCGACCAGTCTTTGGACAGGGTTCCCTGGTGTTGCGTCGCGGTTTCGTGTCTGGGGGTGCTTGGCTCTTGTCCGCGACACCTCCGCGGACAAGCTCTCGCCTCGTGCCGTCCCCTGTGTCTTCCTTGGTTTCCCTGAGGACTCCTCTGACTTCACCTTTTACCACCCTCCCTCTCACCGGTTCTTTGACTCCCGTGACGTCCGTTTCGAGGAGTCCACTCCGTACTACGTCAGGTACCCCAGTCGAGGTCTCCCGGTTCCTCCTCCCCCCCTCTTCCTGACTGCCGTTCCCCCTCCTGCTCCCCCGGTACAGCCTCCCCCCCCTGGTCCAGCCCCGTCAGGTGTGTCCCAGGCTACCCCTCCTCCTTCGGTAGCCCCTCCGGTACAGCCTCCCTCCCCACAGTCCTCCTCGCAGCGTGCCGCTGGTGCTAGCTCTCGAGAGGTTGGTGCGACGCCTGTTCCTGTACCGGTTTCTGGTTCTGGGGGTGCTGGAGTTAGAGCTGGAGTTGGAGCTGGAGTTGGAGCTGGAGTTGGCACTGGAGTTTCTGGTTCTGGGGGTGCTGGAGTTGGAGCTGGGGTTGGAGCTGGAGTTTCTGGTTCTGGAGTTGGAGCTGACCAGGTGGGTGCAGAGGACGCTTGTCGTCCGGGAGCTGGTGCTGGCCGCGCGGACACTGGGGGTGCTGCGTCTGGGGGTGAGGGTGCGCCTCCTTTGGGTTCAGGTGAGCCTGGGTCTGGAGCTGGTGTTAGTACTGCCTTCCTTCTTTCTAGTCCACCTCGTCCGTCTCAGTCTGTGCTTCCGTCTCCTCCTGAGTCGGCCCTCACTGTGTCGCTCCCTACTCCTGTCACTGACTACTACCGCACGTACCGTCCTGTTCTCTCTCGTGTTCTCGCCTCTCTTGTTACTCACCCTCGTGCCTCTGTGTCCTCTGTGTCCGCTCTTACTGCCGCAGTTACTGACTTTGCCTCTACCCGCCGCCTTGACTACGCCACCACGCTTGTGGCTGCTCCTCCTACCAGTCCTCTGGCCGTCGGGGGTGTGTCTGCCCTTGGCCGTGACGCCCTAGAGGACAGGCAGTTTGAGCTAGAGTTCCTGGCGGCCGCTTCCCCTCATCTCTGTGCCATGCTCCTCGCCCCTGAGGGTGACCCCGACGCCCTTGACATTCCGACTCCTCGCACTTACGCTGAGGCAGTGTCAGGGCCTTGGGCCTCTCAGTGGAGAGCTGCCATGGACGCAGAGATGGCCTCCTACAGATCCACAGGCACCTACGTCGATGAGGTTCCCCCCCCGGGGGCGAACGTAGTCGACGGCATGTGGATCTACAGGGTGAAGCGGCCACCGGGATCTCCCCCGGTCTTCAAGGCGCGCTACGTGGCTAGAGGTTTCAGTCAGCGCGAGGGAGTTGACTTCTTTCAGACCTTCGCACCTACCCCGAAGATGACCACTCTTCGGGTGTTACTACACGTAGCAGCACAGAGAGACTACGAGTTACACTCTCTTGACTTCTCCACTGCTTTCCTTCAGGGCAGCCTACACGAGGAGGTCTGGTTGCGTCGTCCCTTGGCCTTCACTGGCACCTTCCCTCCTGGGACCCAGTGGAGGCTGAGGCGACCTGTTTACGGTCTTCGCCAGGCCCCTCGTGAGTGGCACGACACTCTGCGTTCTACCCTCTCTGACCTTGGGTTCCAGCCGTCTTCTGCCGACCCGTCGCTGTTCGTTCGTCGTGGCTCCACACCGTTCTTTGTTCTGGTTTACGTCGACGACCTCGTTTTCGCCACTCCGGACAGGGTTGCTTTGGCAGACGTGAAGTCCGAACTGCAGAAGAGACACACGTGCACTGATCTTGGTGAGCTGCGCCACTACCTTGGCCTGCAGATCACCAGGGACAGAGCCGCTCGCACCATTACACTCTCACAGTCACACATGGTGCAGCAGGTCCTTCAGCGGTTCGGGCTTCAGCACTCCACCGTACAGCGCACACCTCTAGCTGTTGACCACAGACTCACTGGTCCCTTTCCTGACGAGCCGTTTGAGCCTAGTGGTCCCTACGCAGAGCTTGTGGGTTGCCTCATGTACCTGATGACTTGTACTCGCCCGGACCTCGCCTTCCCTCTCAGCATCCTTGCGCGCTTTGTTGCGCCAGGGAGACACCGTCCTGTTCACTGGACGGCAGCTGTGAGGGTGGCGAAGTACCTAGCGACTACATCAGGCGTGGGGCTAGTTCTTGGAGGGCAGCAGTCTGTCGTACTCACTGGTCACTGTGACTCCTCTTACGCTGACGACGCTGAGACTCACAGGTCTACTCAGGGGTACTGTTTCAGTCTGGGTTCTGGAGCTGTTTCCTGGCGTTCCACGCGCTCCTCTTCTGTCTCGACCTCTACAGCTGAGGCTGAGATTTACGCTGGTGCCATGGCGGCACAGGAGTTGCGGTGGTTGACCTTCTTGCTCACTGACCTTGGTGAGCGGCCGAGCTCTGCACCGACCTTGTTTACTGACAACAAGGCGTCGATCCTCCTCTGTCGTGAGCCGCGACTGGAGAGCAGAGTGAAGCACATTCACATCAGGTACTTTCTTCTGCGAGAGTTGCAGAGGCGTGGACAGGCTCGCTTCGAGTTCGTAGAGTCCGAGGCCAACACTGCAGACATCTTCACCAAGGCGCTTCCGCCTTGTGACCACCAGAGGTGTTGTGTGCAGTTAGGCCTTGTTGACACAGGTTCTAGTCATGCGTAGACTTGAGTTTATTGCCTGCTTCGTCTGTACATTTACTATATATACTTGTGATCTCTTGGACTGGCCTTGTGGCCACTGTTGATTGTGCTCAGAGTGTGTGGTGACGTTGTGATCCACCCTGAGCTTTGTTTTCTTTTGGACTGGTCTTGTGACCGTACTCTTTTTGTTTTTGCTAGACACCCCTCACTTAGGCTATGGGGGTGTGTCAAATGTTGTAGCCTGTAGTGAGGTTTGTCTTAGGGGGTACAGAAGTTAGGGTTTGTCATATGTACCCCAACCAACATCAATGCAACACTCATTCCTCATTCTGACAGGAATTAGCGAAATTCCTTACAGCTACTATACCATGTTGTTTATCATTTGCCATTTAGCTATACATTAACAATTTTAATGGTTAATTACGATAAATAAACTTGAAAAACAATATTGTTTGTCTTGTCATTACTAATGGTGGCCAAACATATTTTCACAGTTTTTAAACAAACAGTTCTCTGCAGACATAACCAATCCTCTTATGCTAGATATTGAGGTGGTACGATTAATTTACCCACTTTTCATGTGGAGCCCACTTTACCCTTGTATTATTATCTAGAGTTTCAGTTTAGCAGTATTCGTGTATACAGCCGTCAAGCAAGGTCTCGATTTTGGGCTTGCTCATAGCGAACCATGCTGGCGTATGTGTCATGTTATCGTGTCGCGGTAACTACCACAGTTGCTCGTCAATTCTGTCTGGTGACTCTTCCAAGCATAAGCACCACCACAGCAGGCAACCTTTAGGCGACGGTCCGAGTGCGTGTCCCATCGCGTCACTTTCTCGTGCTCCTGCGGATCTGGGACTGCTGGGAACCGGATTTTCAGCGTTTTGTGCTATTTCCATCTGCCGCCTCGTTCGGCCACGTCTCCTCGCGGGCTGCGTCCTCTTTCACCAGGGGAGCACGCATCGGCGCGCAGCATGAAGACGGGCGGCACGTTTCAGGAGATCGTGGCGGTGGCGGTGTCGCTGGGGGGCCTGTGGGCGCTGCTCCTGGCGCAGCAGTTCCCGCCCGCCGTCAACCAAGTCATTCTCATAGTACGGCGCCACCCCGCTCCCCGCATCCCCGCATTCCCGCATCCCCGCCGCACCACGCCACATGCCTCTGCTCTTCTAGTCACACGCGCCGCTCACTGTGTTTCCCATTCTCTCCCCTCAATCCCACCAGTCTTCTCATTCCGCCAACCACTCCTCTCCCACCCCACCCACCCCGCCCCTCTTCCTCCTTCGCATTCGCATCCCCTGGGTGCTCGCGAGTGGTGCAGCTGCCGGTGTACGCGTTTGTGTCGCTAGGGTGCTATGCGGTGGGTGCGCTGGGGTACGGGCTTATGCGCTTCCCCACCTGCCCGCACGAGGGCGCGCTGCTGCGCCAGGTGACGAGCGGGTGTCAGTGTAGCGAAGGATCGTTGTGTGGCCGCAGCGTGTGATTGTAGTGGGGGCCGTCATGTAGCAAGACTGGTAGTGCATGCGATGACAGGGGCATGAGCGGATGGCACAAAGTGGCAGGGGAAGGAGTGTGTGGCACATAGAGGCGTGGTCGGCAGTGCTGACTGTTGCTGCTTGCGTCTGAATGCTTCCCACATGCCTGCATGGGTGCTCACTCCCTGACACGTGTGCATGGTGAATGTGTGGTGGCATGGAATGCATGTGTGCTGCCTTGAGTGGTGTATCTGTGCATGGTGCATGCAGGACATAGTGGAGGCCAAGGAGTATCTCTCAAAGCACGGCCTGCAATAGCCCCACCCATCTCGTGCTCATTGCACCTCGCTGCACACCACACCATCCCTTATCGTCACCATCGAGGCGGACCGCGCCGTCGCAACCCACCACACACCGTGTTGTCCCCTTCGTTTGAGGGCGAATCAATGCGTACATCGTTACAGACACCTGTAGTGGTTCGCACGTACCATAACTATTACTATGAGCTTGGAAAGTGTATCCAGGGAGCCATGCGGTATTTTAATAATGCTACTGGCTTGGCTGAATGGCAGCCGGCCTTGGGCTTGCCACGTGCCCCTCTAGGCCTGTATACTTCCTGCTGCCCCCACCCACTTTGCCTTATCGAGCGGCTGAGAGAACGAGCTTGGGGCGAGTCTTGAAGATGAGCTTGCAGCGAATCACCCCCGCCACTCTGTACCCCACCCCCGCCTCCCCCTCCCCTGCCACTCCCCCAGCCCCCTGCCCCACTGCGCCCTCACCACCCCCGCTCTCCTGCCTCCCACCCTCCACATCCATGCCTTCTGCCCCAACACGCGTGCCCCTCGCCCCTCCCTCTGCCTCTGCTGCTGCCGCGTCTCTCTGCCCCCCTCGTGGCAGCGGCAGAGCTGTCTTGCGCAGCAGCACGAACGGCTTGGGCAGCGCTGCCATGGCGCCCTCCAGCTGGTGGTGCCCCACCGTTAGCCGCACTGCGCCCTGTGCCGCGCACACATGCACAGGCGGACACAGGCACACGGGCATGCATGCAAGACAGGCAGTGCAGTGAGAGGGGAAGGTGGCATGCCTTGCCCCACACCCTCTTATGCTACCCGTCCCGCCACGAACAAGAAAGCCGTACTCCAGCGCCCACCACACGGCACATCACCTCGAATCGCCCCATACCACGCCATATCATGCCACCAAACAACAGCACACCACACCCTGTCACATCTTCCCACATCCGCCACCCTGCTTCCCCTCCGCGCCCATCCACCCGTTTCTCTACCTCACGCGCTTCCCTCCCCTTCCCACCTGGCGCGGGCACGTCAGCGCGCCAATTGGAGTGCACCCCTCCGCCCAAGCGCGCCCCGCGTCACAGTCACCCGCGCCGCCGCCCTCCGCGGTGCCAAGCACGGATTTCTCGAGACCGTTTCCCCCGTCGTTTCCGCGCAACGCGGAGGCGGGAAGCGCGGAGGCGAGCGCGGGCAGGTCGGCGCGCAGCTCGCCCTGCAGCTCCACGAGCGCCCATTGCGGGCACTGCGCGCCCCCCTCCGACTCGCACGTCACCCGTATGATCATCGCGCCCGCTCGTAGGGGTTCACGCAGACGTGGCGGTTCTTGGCCTGATAGCGATGGGCTGAACGCGGCGAAAAAACCACGATCGGCGACGAGCTGCGTCGGGCGAAAACCTACGATGAATGAACGAATTTCTGATAGCGGCAAAATGTGGAGTCGGAATTTTGGGTGCATGGGATTGGGACTCTTACCACGTTGTGGCGGAGTTCCGAGTGCGTTTGCCCCATGATCCGAGGCCTTGGATCCGTGTGTTCCGGATTCCGAAGGGCTTGGGCGCAAGGCTCCGCCGCATACGACACGGCCAGCCGCCCACAATTCCGCGCCCACCTGACCGTGAAAAATGTGTTCCAACCAACCTGCCCTGACCCTTTGTGCCAGTGATGTTTGTCGCGAATGACATGTTTCGCCATCGTAACTCTCTGGCCGACAAGTGACGACCGCCGGTCGCATGGCCGGTTGCGACCAACTGGTCTTCCTTGCATCGTTATATGCTTTAACTCGGTTTTTTTTTTGCTGCCACCTTAAAGCTGCAGCACGTGTGTTCCTTTATACCTTTGATGTTATGTGTTTTATAAATAACATGAGTTAAAGTGTAGCATCCTACGTTTGCTCATTGTGTTTTATAGTCATTGTTTACCAACTGTAGGTGTTCTGCACACGTGGCCATGGCAACAGTCCCAAGGCTACAAGAGCCAATCAGCGTCTAGTAGGACCATATCCCAACTGTTGTTTTTTGGCGGGAGAATCATCCAGCCCAGGGTTGGATGACCAGATCTGGATACGGGCTTCTGTGTGTGGTGGATGGGTATGAATGGATGTTTTCGTGCTCATTTGCTCCTTTTCATTTGCATTTCATGTTCCGCAAGCTCTTTGAGATCTTTTCTTCCAGCACCTGTTAGTCCACCAGCGTAATCTTTTAAGCCTGCTTGGCCTACTGGCATAACATTGGCGATCCTCGACATAGTGACGTAGGTCGTATAGAGTAGGTTTTTTTTTTGGGTCAGCCCGGTTAGGATAACTGCAGTCGTACTTGTTAGGTCGCATATGTAGGCGCAGATGTGTGTGGTATAATATTTTGTCGGTAGAACTGTTTGTATTTGCCCGGAACAATTGTCATAGGTCGTCCGCTCTTGTAGGCGGACATCTTCGACGTTAGGCTTCTTCTATCGGTAAAGGTATTCGCTCCCAATCCATAATATCGTCGAACCCACGAAAGTTATGTACAAGCATAAGGGTTCCGTAGATGATTATATCCGTATAATGGTAGGAACTTATTTTCGTTGTTTCGTTGTAGAGAATTAAAGCGGTAAAACAAAGTGTGACAGAGCTATACGGTACGGGACAGTCAAGCGACCCTGTATACGCAAGTTGTAGGCGCAGATATATATGTAAACGCAAGTTGTAGGCGGTGTTCGAAGACCAATGTGTAGACGTCTGAAGCACAGACTCTCTTACGCCTTCTGCGCTTAGCCCACTAAGCATTCTGCCTATGTTATCTGCACCATTGCGAATCGTTACCACCTACCGCGGCTGACACCATCCGATTCTTTCGTCTAGTCTCGGTTGCTAGCTAATAAATTAGGAATCTGTGAATGGCCGACAGCTCGGTCCACTCTCGCCCCATGGCAGCCCAGGGCGCAGAGGATGGAGAAGAAGACTTGGAGGACGTTGAAAATACTGACCAAGACTACGCACAGGATCGCAAGAACGATAGCGAGTTTGAGGCGACCGAGGAGGATTTGTTTCAGGATTCGTTTCAGGGTGGTCTCTACGAACCATCCGTCCGGATTGAAGTCCAGGGGAGTGAAGTAGAGAGTGAAGGGCCGGGAGGCGATGGAGTGCGCCCACGACCCGGTGCACCCGAAGAACGGTACGAGGAGGATGGTGATCACTCTGACGCAGAAGAGGAGGGAGAATCATCGCCGGGACGACGACGACCTCCCGATTCTGCGAGCCATGTCGAGCAGGCTGCGGTCCCCGGAAATGCGCAGCGGCAGACCGACGTTGCGGAAAAGGAGAGCAGGATCCGGCGTTCAACAATCCCGCTTCGACTGATAGAGGCCGGGACGAGAAGGCACTATTGTTTCCACTTTCTACACTTCAAGTGATGGGTGATAATCTTCATGGCAACTATGGTAGATGTCCCTGTGGCAGATAGCCTTGCTCCCTCTCTGCATGACGAGGTTGGGTTTCATATGAGCAATAACTTGGGAAACGATGGGTGGTCGTGCAGCTCTGACGAGTGGCAGATTCATCTGCACGGGCCGCAAATCACGGAATGGAGGCTCGGCCGATACATCGAGTATCTCTTCTGCGAAACTGACGACCAGGCAAAGTTTTTGCGTGGAAAAATGCGGCCAGACGTCGAGAAATATGTGGGGAAGGAGGCAAAGGGGTGCACGGCTTCAATGATCAAGGCAAAGATGAACGCAATGGGATGCCTTGCCAGGTGCGAGGCGAGGCTCTACGGCTTCTCCATCACACTGACCAAGGACTGGATCAAGGATGCTCGGGATTTTTTCAAAGTGAAGCTGAAGGATCTGAACGACGAGCAAGTCGCGTGAGTAACGTATACGGGTGCTTTCTGTTTGTGTGAATGTTGTTCTACATGGTTTACCTAATTACTGTGCTATTCTATGCAGGGATGGTCGAGATCAAACCCGTGGATCAATTGGTGATTGTTATACGGGAAGCCAGTATAGGACGCTGCATCTTACTGTTCTGCGAAAAGAGCTCCTAGAGATCTGGTGGCGGACGCCTCCGTCACAAATCTCGCTTCCTCTCTGGAAGGCTCTGCAAGTCCCGGTTATGATGCACCTCGGACACCAATTTCTCGGAAGAGGGTGCAGCATTCGAAAGATTCGACTTGGGAACCTCTTTGTCCGCATGACGCGGAGCACATCACGCCTCGACGACTATCTGGACGTTTTCGTACTCGTCGTTGTTTCCAGGAAGTCGAAGACCAACCCCAACAACAAGCTGAATCATCAGTTTCTTGCAAGGCATAGGGACTGGCGGCTCTGCGGAATGGGCCATGTGTTCCTGTGGCTTTATTTCATCTACGACCTCGTTCCTCTGCGCTACGGCCCCGGTATCGTCGAGCCTCTCGACTTTTCTGAACCGATCTTGTGGACGAAAGCACACCTCTTCTTTTCTTTGAAGAAGGGCGACCAGGGAAAGCAGAAGCAAGACGAGATGCACTACAAAACGCATAACACCTGGATTAAGTGGGCCATGACGAAGGCGAGATGGATTCTGAGCAAGGTAACACATGCATTCCGCAGATCCGGAGCGCAACAACTCCATGACGACGGTTGCTCCGACAACGATATCGGCACTCTGGGCGGATGGGCGCAGGGGGAGTTGCGGAGGTGTTATGTGTTCGGCATACCGTTCAAGCCGGTTTGGCTGCTGGCAAGATTCAGCGGGGATCGTGGAGACTACTACATCGGCAGAGCCCGCGCCAAGCTTCCGCGGCATAAGGTTAAGGAGAAGGATGAGTGGTTGCAGCTCTTGGATCTCTTGAGGCTTCACATTTTCCCCTGGGTCGAAGAGGGTTGGAAGAAGGTACGTGCTAGTGTACAGTCTTCGCGTTCGTAGCTTAATTTTGATACGCAATGATGAACCGTCCCATTTCTCCTGCATACTCGTCCCGTCAGGTCGAAGAATGGAACGCTGCGCAGACCGATCCGCTGAAGAGGCACTATGCGGGGGCGAGGTTCCTAGACACCCTCGCGAGCATCGGACGCCTCGTTGTTGCACAGGATCTGGCTATGATGTGGGCGTTCTGCCATCAGCACGGCGTGAGAAACCCGCGGTGCAATTGCGAGAGGCATCCATATGTGCAGATGAGCCCCTTGTGCAACCACCCGCTGTTCCAAAAGTGGGCGTACCTGGTCGCTATCTCTCACTTCCAGGGCGAGAAGCTTCGGGCAACCGGCCAAACCACCGCCAAAGCAGTAAGTGCCTGCTATTAGTGGTAGAGAGGAGTTATTCGTTCATGCTGAGTTCTGCCGTGCTGGTTTCTGCAGGACGCTATCTTTCGCACGACCGCAGAAGAGAAGCTGCATAAGATGCACCTCACCGCCAATATGCTCAGGGAGGAGCTTGGGATTTTGAGAGGACGTGAAATGCAGTTGGCGATGGAGAACGCTGAACTGAGGGAGAAACTCGCCGTTGAGCGAGAGGACAAGGCTCGGGTCATTGCAGAGTTCGAAGCATACAAGAGGTGTGTTGCGGCCAGGGATGACGCGGCAAACACCTCTGCAGAGATCGACGGATCGTCGAAGAGCGCGGGAACAGGAGGAAACCAGGCAACGGACGCATCCAAAGCACCAGTTGCCATCCAAGAATTCTTCGTCGTGGTCGTTGTGTCTTGGCGCGAAGCCACCACTGTAGCTGCTGCCTGGAAAGTGTGGGTGCAGCCAAGCCTCATCATGGGCGGCCGGTCACTGCGCGAAGTCTTTGCAGAGTTCGACCGGTATAAGAAGAAGGACAAGAATTCCAGCTTCATCACCGCATATTCCCGGTTCGCTGTCAAAGGTACGCCCGGGATGGCTGTGGGTGCATGCGAGCGAAAGATGCGTCGCGTGCATCGTGTCATGGTTTCCGTGGAGACGATAAGAAAAGACAGCTCCGAGGCGGCGACCGCAACGGCCATTAAGCTGCTGGACGAGGTTTTACTCGTGTGCAACTTCACGGAATTCACCAACGGCCTGGCTGTGCTGCATGAGACTCCGACCATCAAGAAACAGAAGACCGGTTCGTCGACGGAGAAGAGGACCGTCAACGACCTGGCGCAACGCAGAGTGGGCTGGCTGTTAGTCAAGAAGGGCCTTCGCGACCAGGAGTGGGCAACTTCGCTGTTTGGGGATGATGAGTGGGAGGAGATCCACAAGGAACACATGGCGCAGGAGAAGGCGGAAGAGGAGAAACAACGAACCGCTGCGGCGAAGAAGGCGGAACGGGAACAGGCGAAGGGCGAAGCGTCGAAACGCAAGGAG